CTGCACCTTGTTGTCTCGGATTCTCCAGCATCTGCAGTTCCTACTATCTCTGTTTTGATGTAGTTGAGGGAGGAATGTTGGCATGGGGATCTCCTTGCTGCTGTTCAAATAGCATACAAAAGCATTCATTTAACATCTCATCTGGAAGAATACACCTCTCATAATGCAGCACATCTTCAGTATTTCATTAGTTCTCTTGCCTAAATTATATTCTCTGGTTTGTGGCAAAATTTAAACCTAAGAAGGAAGAGTGCTACTAACTATGCCGGGGTAGCAATATGCATTAGAGAGTAAAATTCCTTACTCTTTTTTACTTAACATGCTGTATGCAATTGCCTCTTAGGTGCTGTCTTCCTCTCTCATGATGTTTTATTTATCTCTCTCTCTCTCTCTCTCTCTCTCATCCTTACAGGGACATAGGAGTCAGAGTAGGTCATTTAACCCCTTGAGGTTGTTCCACTGACCATGAGATCTTGGCTGATTTGCCATCTAACTCTATCTGCCCATCTTTGCTCCATAGCTCTTTAAAATCTTCTTTTGACAGAAATTTATCAACTACAGATTTAATTGAACGGTATTGTTTGAGGGGAAAAGTTTCACACTTCTACCATCCTTTTTGTATAAAAGTGTTTCCCAGCTTCAATCCCGAGCGATCAGGTTGTAATTTTCAGACATTGCTTCCTAGTGCTTGATTTCCCAGCCATCTGTAATAGTTTCTCTATCTACCTCATCTTTCCCTCAATACCTCAGCCTGTTCAATCCTATTACCCTTCAATCTTTTAAAACCCTGTGTAACTTTGTGTAATTTTGTCCTGGAATTTAACCTTTTGGCGCCCTGGTAATATTCTAATAAATCTTTGCATGGTAAATCAGTGGTTAGCATTGCTGTCTCTCAGCACCAGGGACCCGGGTTCAATTCCACCCTTGGGTTACTGTGTGTGGAGTTTGCACATTCTCCCCGTGTCTGCATGGGTTTCCTCTGGTGCTCTGGTTTCTTCCCACAGTCCAAAGATGTGCAGGTTAGGTGGATTGCCATGCTAAATTGCATAGTGTCCAGGGATGTGAAGGCTAGGTGGATTAGACATGGTAATTACAGGGATGTAGTAGAGGGGTGGGTCTGTGTGGACTCGATGGGCTAAAAAGCCTGCTTCCAAACTGTAGGGATTATTGCTCTCAAAGGGTTGTGAATCAATGGAATTAATGATCTCAGATTACAGTGGATGCTAGGACGTTGTGTAAAGGAGCTAGACAGATTTTTAATTAGCAATGGATTGAAGGGTTATGGAGAGTAAGCAGGAAAATGGAGCTGACGTCAGCGATAATTATATCAAGTGGTGGAGCAGGCTCGAGGGGCTGAATTGCCTACACCTGCTGCTAGTTCTTACGTTCCTATATATTCTTCCAAAGTTTTGATGCTCAGGCTTTGCTTACAGTATCTAAGGTGTGTCTAACTTTGGCCTTGTACGACTGAAGCATGACTACTATCCACTTACATTTTTTTATTCTTGTTATAAAGGCCAGGATTCCATTAGTCCTTTTAACTTTATTTTGTGGTTGCTTATGACATTTTAATGATCTGTACCTGGACACCCAAGTTCCTTCCAAAGAAAAACCGAAAGAAATGCGGATCCTGTAAATCAGGAACAAAAACAAAATTGCTGGAGAGGCTCAGCAGGTCTGGTAGCATCTGTGAAGGAAAAAAAACAGAGTTAACGTTTCGAGTCCGGTGACCCTTCCTCATGCGGCACCACATACACACTCTCAGCCTTTCCACTCCGCAGTTCCACTTCATCCTCCGGCTCATTCGTCATGCTAACAAGAAACTTTTTCTTTTCCTTTCAGGCGCCAAGGCCCACAAGATGCAAAAACTCAAAAATACCCATGGCCCTCTGGAACCTTCCTCTCCCCACCTTCCCTCTGACTCCATCCCCTCCCCCAACCCCCCACCTCCTGTCAGGTATTCACCATCCCTCCTAACCTTCTGCTATCCGACGCAGAACGCTCCGTATTCAGCAAAGGCCTCAGCTTTATTTCTCTGCGCCCTCCCCTTAACGAATTTTGGGCACGACATGATGCCGAACTCTTCTTCCGCCATCTTCACCTCCGTGCTCATTTCTTTGGACAAGAGTCTTCCCCCTGTCCCACAGACCCCTTTGCCCAGTTCCAATGCTCTCCCTCCAATTGGACCCATCCCTCCGGCCTTTTACCTGCACTCGATCTGTTGAGAACTGTCGACGTGACATTAGTCGCCTCAATTTCACTGCCCCTCTCACCAAATCCAACCTATCTCCCTCCAAACTGACTGCACTCCGTGCACTCAGATCCAACCCTGACTTTGTTATTAAGCCTGCCGATAAGGGTGGTGCTGTTGTAGTCTGGCGTATTGACCTCTACCATGCAAAGGCTGAGCGCCAGCCCTCAGATACCTCTCCTACACGTCCATTCCCCACCAGGAAGGTTTTAGGGCTCTCCGCTTCTTCCTGGAGCAAAGACCTGAACCATCCCCACGCACGACCACCCTCCTCCATTTGGCTGAGCTTGTCCTCACCCTCAACAACAATTCTGAGGAGGTGTCACCAGACCTGAAACGTTAACTCTGTTTTTTTCCCTTCACAGATGCTGCCAGACCTGCTGAGCCTCTCCAGCAATTTTGTTTTTGTTCCCAAGTTCCTTCAACTCGTACTGCTTCGTACTATTTGGAAAATACTTTGTTTTATTGTTTTGGATACTGATAAATGGATTTCATTAATGTGATTATCAAAGTTTCTCAAGAATGTTATGCTTCTGTCTACACTGCTTAAATGCTGCCTACCTTTGTGTCATTGGTATATTTGGATATGAGGCTTTCTAACCCATCATCGAAGTCATTGCTGAATAGTTGAGGCTTCAATGCAGATTCTTGATGGTCACGCTAGTCATTATCAAACATAAAGGAAGATGTTTGATGTAATCTTGCCTCTCTTCTAAATTTATTGAATCTCTTCCTGTCTATATGTTTCTTGCTAGCTTCCTATCATTCTAATTTCTCCCTTTATTGTCTTACTGATTGTAGCCAGAGTAACACTTGTACCAGCTTTTCTTCCTGTTCCTGCACTGTTACCACTGGTATTCCCAAAGATTTGTCCTTGACCCTTATTCCTATTTGGATGTTGCCTCTCAGGGACATCCAAAAGCACAATGTCAGATTTCAAATGCATACAGGCAGCATCCAACTCTACCTCGCCATCACTTCTGTTGACCACTGCACTGTTGCTAAATTATCAGGCTGCTTATTTGACACAATGAGCAGAAATTTAATTTGAGAAGATTGAAGCCAGTGTTTCAGGTCCCTACTTCAAATTCAATCTCTCTACCTGGCAACAGAGATTAAGCCAGTCTGATCATAGTCTTGGGATGATTTTGTGCCCAAGACGAATTTCTGACCATACCATCACTTCGATTGCCTATTTCCACTTCTGTAAAAATTTCCCAACTTTGTCCTTCTCTCAGTGCATCTACTGCTGAAACTCTTATTAGTGTTTTTATATCCAGTCTCTACTCTTTCCAAAGCGCTTTTAGCTGGTCTTGACATTTTTACTCTCTGTAAACTTGTCATGTGTCATTACATGCAACATTTTGTTCTCCTATCATCCTTGTGCTTACTGACCAACATTAGATCCTGGTCAAGAAAGGTCTTAAATTTAAAATTCTCATTCTTTGTTTTTGTATGCATCCATGGCCTTTCCCCCTCTTTATATTTGTAATTTGCTGCAGTCCCACAATGCTCTGAGATGTAGGCACCCTTCTACTTCTGACCTTTTTAATGTTCCCAATTTTAATTGCTTCATCTATGATGACCATCTGTTTGGTTGTCAAGGTCCCAAGCTCTGGAATACCCTCCCTATATGTCTCTGTTTCTCTCTCTCTTGCTTTCCTCCTTTAAGACACTCCTTAAAGGATAACTCTTTGACTATACCTTTGGTCACTTGACCTAAATATTTCCTTATTAGCTTGATGTGTTTTATTTTCAGAATGCTCCTTGAATTAGGTTGGTATGTTTCATTACGTTAAAGGTGCAAAATAAATAAATGCTGCTTTCACTCACTCATGCTTGTCTCTAGCTTACATTCTAACTAGCATCATTTTTGGTCTTTCCTACAAACAAATTTAAGGTCATCACCTCACTTCAGATTCTGTCACGACTACTTTAAGCCAGTTACCAATAAGTGAATACAGTGAATGTCCCAATTTTTGTCTGGTCCAAACTGCATCGAATGGAACCTGTGTCACATAACGCTCTCTTCTTAACATGGTCTACGTTTGCTCAACAGTTTCACTAATGGTACATCTAGCTGTGTTTTGAAATTTGAGTGCAACACTGTAGGTAAATGTAATTGTGCTGCATTATTCCGAATACTTTTGTATTTATTTTGGGGTCATTACTAATGGCTCGCAACCATCTTGTAGTGTCAGTATAATAGATTTACTGCTGTCTTCACAGTACAGAAAGCAACACAGACATAGTAACCTTTCTTCTCTTTAGTCTGTAGATGTTGACTGGCCGCCAAAATTGGATGAATGAAGTGCTGGAGTTTGAGCAATTTCTGGCTGAGTCCAGGACTGGCTACAATCAAAAAGATTATCAGATATGTCATGGGAGCTGATGTAAACAAAAACAGTGACAATTTCTTTAAGCTTAATTTTGTATTCATTTCCTAATAGCTCAGTTTCAATGTAAACCTTGTAAATAGCTTATGAACAGCATATAAAAAATAAATGTCTGACCTTAAATTATGCATTTTATTTGTACAAAGTTGACAAATGCACTAGCTGCACAACTACTAATTTTTAAAATAAATTCATTCAGGGGTCATCAGCATTGCTGGCTAGACTGGTGTTTATTGCCCATCCCTAATTGTTTAGTGGGCATTTGAGAATCAACCACATCGCTGTGGGTTTGGGGTCATATGTAGACGAGACAAAGCAAGGACAACAGTTTCCTTCCCTAAAGGACATTAATGAACCAGATAGGTTTTTCGAACAATCAACAATGGATTCATGATCGTTATTAGATGCTTAATTCCAATTTTCTTTTTATTGAATTGAAATTCCACCATCTGCTTGGCGGGATTTGAATCCAGGTCCCCAGAACATTGCCTGGAACTCTGGATTAATAGCCTAGCAATAATATCACTAGCCCATTGCCTCCCCACAAATCTTTAGCATATGGTTAAATATAGTACTTATTCTGAAATTTGTGAACTTGTGAATATTTTGAAAAACTGCCTGGTGCAATTATGTATATGTCCAAAAAAGAACTTGCTTTTATGATTAATGTTTCATTCTGATCCAAAGAAATGTAGTTTCTAATATTTTAAATATCTCAGTGAGTCAAATTACTTAAATAGTAATCATATGTAAATAGTGTCTTGCTAAAACTTCTTGAATCACTACAGCCGGCAGATTACTTGGAATTTAGTATTAAATGGGAAATTCAAAAGTCATTTTGCACTAGCAACATTTCTTGGATATTAAAGTCTGTTTTTAGATGGTGCAAGTTGCGAGAGAAATGTTGTCCTTCTCCAAATACTGCCCTGTCCAACTCAACCAAAAAGATTTAGTTTTTCACATTTTTATTTTAGGAGCAATGCTTTATAAAACAGAAATGAAACAACTATTTTGTCTCAATGACATGATCTCAGTGTGTCTGCATCTCTTGACTCTGCATGTGAATCATTGGCAGCACTGAGCAAGGCAATGTACTGTATTTAAAACAAAGTTCCACGAGAAATAACCACATATCTTACAATTCCAGTTCATTTGTTTCCAACATTTAAGCGACAGACTTTGGAATGAGTTCACAGAATGAGTTGCTAAACTGAAAAAATGCAATTTGCATAATTGCACAATGTGCCAAATTGGAAGATAGCAACTTCTTAACACCTTATTGTCCTGTGATATCACCCAAGCTCCAGGTAAAAGCTAGCATACACATTCCACAAAGAAGGATGGCAGCAAGGCTGAACCTGGAGCTTTGGAGGGTGCTTTACTGGCAGCTACAACTGCTCCCTGTGTTGCTGCAGCTCTCTGAAAATGCGATTTTGGCTACTTCATCTCAGAGAAGGTTCACTGCTGGCTTTTAGGGACCTTGGCAGACAATCCCCACAGGAGATGCAGAGGACTCTTAGAAGCTCTTCACCTGCCACCCAAGACACTGGTCCCCTGGATTAAATTCCAACCAGTGAAATTCACACAAAAAGCTTGATGAATCATAACTTAATGAATACAAGATGTTTGGGCAAGTTGTTTATGCTTTGTCACTAGCAAATTAGATTCTTCACCATGGTCACTTGTCCACATTTTCTGCAAGGAGAAGTGGAATTTGTATAGACCCATTCATGATCTTGCAGAGTCCTAAAGCCATTGCGCTACTTTTGAAATGTAGTCTCTTTTGTAACGCATGACATATGACAGTCAACTTACGCATAGAAAGATCCTACAATTAGCAATCTAATGACACCTATTGGCTTGCCTTTGCTTATCTGAAATTTTTGAAAAAAAGTGAAATATATTTGACAAACATGCCATTATAATGAATACAGATTCAAAATTATTGTGTTACTATATATTGACACCAGTAAACCCCATCTCCTAGCTTCCATATTGCACTTTCTTGTATTAGTAGTTTATCTTTATCACCTGGGCAAATTGATGTTTTACTTACTGAAACAAATTGGATTGTTTTTTGAAAGAGATGACACAGGCTCGATGGACTGAGTGTTCTCCTGTACTCTTGTCTGCTTTTGTATGTTTTTGATAAATCTAAAGTTTGGAGGCAGGTCATGCTTGTTTGCTTGCTTGATATAGTCCTTAATAGATTAGGCTATGACAGCGTTGGAGCAAAAGGTATCCTCCATTCAACAATAATTTTGGTGTCATGGAAATTAAAGAATATATTCATGCCATGACTGTTTAATCACTTACAGGAGCACTAGTACTGCAGACTTCCTTAAATGCTCACTTGCATTTTAAAATATAGGTGTAGCTGGCTACTCAACTGCTGCTTTGGTGTGGGTACGTTATAATGAATTTTAACTGGCTTCTGTTCAATGTATCAAACATGATTAGAAATAATATAAATCACATAATCTAAAGTACTGTTATCTGTTTTTAAAAAAAAACTTAAAATCTGTCTCCTCCTTACAAAGTCAGTGGTGCATAGAGGGCTGTTTTTCGGACTGGAGGCATGTGACCAGCAGTGTGTTGCAAGGATCACTTCTGGATCCGCTGTTGTTTGTCATTCATATGAATGATTTGGATGAGAATATAGGAGGAATGGTTAGTAAGTTCATGGATGATTCCAAATCGGTGTTGTAGTAGATAGTGAAGAAGGTTATGTCAGTACAATGAGATCTTGATCAGACGGGCCAAGGGGTCGAGGAGTTTAATTTAGATAAATTCAAGGTGTTGCACTTTAGTACGACAAACCAGGTCAGGACATGCACTGTTGTAGAGGTTCATAGTTCCTTGAAAGTGCTGTTGCAGGTGGACAGAGTGGCAAAGAAGGGTTTGGCACATTTGCCTTCATTGGTAAGAGCATTGAGTACAGGAGTTGGGATGTCATGTTGTGGCTGTACAAAACATTAGTGAGGCCACTTTTAGAATATTGCATCCAATTCTGGTTGCGCTGTTATGAGAAGGATCTTGTTAAGCTAGAATGGATGCAGAAACAATTTACAAGGATGTTGCCAGGACTGGAGGGTTTGAGTTGTAAGGAAAGATTGAATAGGCTGGGGGCATCTTTCCCTGGCGAACTGGAGGCCGAGGGTGACCTTTTATAGAAGTTTATAAAAGGAGAAGATGAATAGCCAAGGTCTTTTTCCAAGTGTTGTTGAGTCCAAAACTAGAGGACAAAGGAAAGATTTAAATGGACCTGAGGGGCAACTTTTTCTACACAGAGGGTGGTGTGTGCATGAAATGAGCTACCACAGAAAGTGGTAGAGACGGGTACAATTACCACATTTTAAAAGACATTTGGACAGGTATGTGAATAGGAAAGGTTTAGAGGGATATGGGCCAACATAGGCAAATGGGACTAGTTTAGTTTGGGAACATGGTTGATGTAGACTGGTTGGACCAAAAGGTCTGTTTCCATGCTGTATGACTCTACAACATATACCCACCCTCCCTAATGGCACCCAACAGCCATTTTCTTTGTTCAAAAAGTGATTGAATATATTTTGCATATACTTTCAAATTTAAAAGCATAAAAGTATTGCTATAGTCACATGGATGACTGATCAGATTAAATTTAGAGCACTACATTCTTCCTCTTGCACCTGCAAGTAGAGGAAAGCAAGAATCATATCCATATCTCATGACATATTGCAGTTCCCAGGGGAAACTAGCTCAAATTATATTGGGTATTAATGCTAGGTTTCCAAAATTGAACTTAAAGAGCAGATAGTGGTCACAAAATCACCTCCCTACAAAAATGTGAAAGGAAAATGTGACATATTTAGCAACTGTATACATATAAATTTTACATAGTTTTGATCTAAATAGGTGCTGAGCAACCACTCCAATGCTAATTATTGTAACCAATCCTTCAGCAAGAATATGTTCAACATAAAATTGTTAAAATTTCAAAGCAAGAGCTGTATATGAAAGACAATTTTCAGGAATTGGTGACACTCTACCTCCAGTATATTCTATGGGATGTGGGAAGTCTGCCATAATCTTTTAATTCACAGGCAGTTGATCAGACAAGTAAGTATGCATCTATCAACTGTAGAACAGTAACTATATTTAGAAATTTCAAGCACACATCTGAATTTGCCCCACACGCCTTGCAAATACCAATCCCAGTAAACATTTTTCAATTAAATTAGAACTGATTTAGTACAACCAGGATCTTCCCCATCAAAATCACCACCGAATGCTAATACACTATTTGGGAAACTGTTACAGGTCTGGAATGAGTTTTTATAATGATCCTTTTCACTGGTGCGACTTTTGGCTTCAAGATACGTAGATTTTAGTGTAGAAGTAATAACAGCCAAAACAGGCAAGGAAAAAGTAGTCATCAGCACTACACAGCATACAGTTCTCTAATTGATTTCAGGATGACAGTTTGAACATTTGTAAGTTCAGTTAGTGCATGCTTCCCTTAAGTTAAATTAGCATGTACTGATGTTTGTAAATTTAATTAAAATTTTACAATAATAAAGAGTTGTGTCTGACCATTTTGTCCCTCAAGATGAGTTCAGAGTGTATCTGAGGGAGATGTGCATTTGCCTACCTACAATAAAGTCTCACAAAAAATGTTAATGGCCCCATTGCACAAACAGGTCATTTATCTGTGTCAATACACAGTGGCATGATAGACACCTAATATTATACTCTCAGCCCCACTTTGTAAAGTACATGATGGCCTGAAGGCTCTTCAGTTCTTCCAAGAGTAGAAACCCAATCAGTCCCTATCTATAACCACCCTCCTTTACCTCACTGACATCATGTCCTTTAACTCCATCCACTTCCTCAAAACAAAAAGCTATTGGTACTCAACTATCTTTTTTCTCCCCTCTTCTAGTCGTAGGCGGGTCCTCTTCATCTTTCTTGAGGGCCATCATTGACTGCATAGCAAGAGCAGAAAATGGTACCTATAATGTGGAGAATGTTTGAGTGCCAATTTCTACCCTTGCCTCATCTGGTCAATCTTTAATTCTTCCCTGTCCTGACTTAAGCCTCTCCGCTTCCAGGGAGAGGCTGTCAGCCAATATCCACCATTGACTATGCTTCCTCACACAGGTCTCTATTCCATTCACCCAGTTTTTCCATCTTTGCCACATCTGTTTTACCAATGAAAACTTTCAAACCAGCACTTCCAAAATGCCTTGTTCCTCTATCCAGAATTAACCCCCATAACATTCCATTTCCCGCACTTTTCCTCTCACCATCCATCCCAGATTTAAGAGTTCCTCATGTGCCAGACCATTATTAATAGAAATACACAGTCAGGTGAATGTTGAAATATTTTTTATTTAAAAGTTACAAAGTTATAAAATTAAACAACGTCAGCAGTAATTGTAAACATCAAAAACAAAATCATAATAGCAAGAACCATTGTGAAAATATCCTGAAAACTATTTATAATATCCTTCTGCTAGCAATTGTTTTGAAAACCATATCACAAAAAATTCAAATGCCACAAAATGACCATACGGCATACATTCAATTTCCCTAATAAATCTGATTTATAAATTGAGAACTTATCTTGCAAAGTTTATATGCTAAGTACAGTTAGATTGACACAGTCATTACAAACATCAAGGGAAGTCCCTTTCTACATAAAAGTAAATTTACAACTTTACAGTGTAAAATGCACCAAGATGAGCTAATTTCCTAATTTAAGACTTTCTCACTTGGTTTGAGAACTTAAATCAAATAGTAAAAAATAAAAATGCATTACCATTAGATAATTAGGAAAATACAGTATTTGCTGCACAGATTATGTTAAAAATCTGAAGGTGCAAGGTCACCAAGATTGAGGAATATTATTGAACATTTCTTTTGAATACTGCTTCCAATTCATTTCTTTTAATGTGTAACACTATTCTGAGCTTCATTTTAAATGTTTCTAACCAACCTCCATCTAAAAGCAACAACTTATCTTCCCGAAGTGATCCGTAGCAAATGGGTGGACATCTTCCTAGTTCCACAGACATGGACTTCAAGGTTGGCTTGTAGCTTTACTGGGAAGAAATTCACACGTCAAGTAAAAGGTTGCCATGATCCTACCTCCAGGCAGTCTTGATGGAAAAGGGTCATTGCTGGTAATGCTTATCCACCTTGCCAGAGTAGATAGCCAATTTGAATATTAATTACCCAGTTGTGGGCTAACTGGGACTGCTATCGGGATCCTCCTGGCAGTGAATGGACTAGGCGTTTGCCAGAGGCCAAAGCCTGAAAGATGCCTCCTCCTGATGGCCGCCACCAGAGTAACGTGGATCAGAAGGTTGCCTCAGGGTGCCTAGTCTCTGTGATCAGAATTTGTATCTTTTGAATTCAAACATTTTATTAATACATGAGATCAGAGTGTCATGACATATTTATTGCCCTCCAGAACAAATGATGAGCTGCTGCCTTGAATCACTGTAGTCCACGTGGTGTAGATATATCAAACTGTGAGTAGGGAGGGAGTGACAGGATTTTAATCCAGTGACAATGAAGGATCAGGGAAATATTTTCAAGTCAGAATGAGATGGGAGTTAGATGGGAGCTGTTCAGAGGGTACTTCAAGACTGAGAAACCCTCATAGACCCCCATACTGCAGCTTCAGCACTCACCTTAGCTAGTGGGCTGCCATCTTTCCAGGGTTGCAGGCCCAACCATAGGCATTGGCCCAGTCCTTAATTGGACAGCAGGTTTGGAGATTGCCTCCTGGAATATCACCAGTTGGCATGTCACCATCAAGTGAGAGTTCAGGGCCCTCTTTTGAATGGGGCAAGACATCCAACGTATTCACCATCTTTTTACTAACAAAAAGACTGAAATAATTCATTGAAATCACCAGAATCTGTCTGAAATTCATTCATGAAATCCAGGTCTACATGCTTTGAAGCTATTTGATTCCTATAATCATTAGCTTCAATATCACCAACACTGAACACATCACTTGCCATGCCATCTGCCATCTGCATGCCTCCGTTAAAAGGTAAGTCGCTGTTCAGGTGTCCAAGGACACCCTCTACACGAATGTCATTGGGTAATTGTGCATTTGCTTGAGCAGTTTTGATAGCAGCAGTGTTCTGAGGCAATTGAATACCTTGAATAGATGGTGTGTGTCGCTGACTCGATAGCTCCCATAGATCTGGAATGGGTACAGCTTGTTCATGGTTTGTACCTACCAAACGTACATCATTATTCCTGGCAAGTATATGCATATGAGGGTTGTGATTTACCAAAGTATCAGAAGTGCTTAAAACAGCAGGTTGTTGAATGTGTTGAGCTCCAATGCCATTGTTGCTGATGTCATGTCGAAACCCTACTGAATCTACTGGACTGTTCCGCGTAGGAGGTTGCAAACATTTCAGCACATCTTCATTAAGTACTGGCAGTGAATTATGATTTGCAGGAGTATGTAAATGTAAATTCCCTTTTAGAGTATTATAAGAAGGATGTGGATTCCAGTTTGGAGGGGTACCTGCTGTTGTGGTTGTAGATAGCAATGTTTGTTGGCCAGAAGTGAAAATCTGGTTTGGATTGCTGATAACTGCATTACTAAAATTATGATTATTCTGGTTCATTGCCACACTTTTGGTATGCTGCTGACTTGACATTACTTGTGCCTGTTGTAGTCCACTAAAAGCATCCCGAGGCTCTGTGAAACAAGGAGTGAAAACAGTGACTCCACTGACAATAGCTATTTTTTAAAAACAAGTTAATGCTTAGAATCAACAAATTACAAGAAATAAAATTTGCACCAATCTCTGCAAGTCTGGAGCTTTTGCCATAACTATCCAGGAAACATACACTGGCTTTGTAAAATAAAAAAAAAGCAGATTCATCTAAATTATATGTTAATCTGTGTACAAATGTCTTTAAGCAATTCAATGTAGATTTGAATTTGGAAGATAAAATAATATACTACTTAAAATTACATAGTGTAAGGGATATTGCAGTTGTGATTTGCATATGACAACACTGTTGTGATGTTCCCTATCGTAGACTCTAGTGAAGAATTTCACATTTTAGTTTTTAATCAGAGAAAAACTATTTAATATCTGCAACTTGTTAATTGCCAGAATTTATGAAGTTCGATAAAATTGATTTCGCTACACTACAGAAAAAAAGACAGATTTTTAATGTTTACTCATACTAAAATAGTTCTGAAGCTGTGTTTTAATGCAATCTATAGTGTAGTCAGATCAGTCTGTGTTTGTGATGCCATTCTTTCTTACCTTGCTTAATGGTGTTTGAAAGAGCATAGGCTCTTCTTGCAGTGGGGACACCAACTGTGATCTTATCTGGTTGGTTTTGCATACATTGTACATCTGTGGTATCTGAAACCACACATCAAGATCCAGTTGGATTTTTTGAAAAATCTACAATCAACCCAACCAAACAAAAGCACCACTGCCACATGTTTGAAAATATTAATCTAAACAGACCCAACATTCTAATATGCATTCAAATATCTTTTCCACAAAAGCACACTCATAGCTCAGGAAGATGACATTAAATGATATCTAAATTATCAGATTAATATCTCCTGTATCACCACATTTATGGACTTTAAATCACATTAATCTATTTTTATAATGCATGGGGACTCCATAGAGAACGCTGTCAAAGACCAAAATCTAAAATTTATGTTGTGTTAGCTTTCTAGATTGTTCATGCATGAGTACCTCTTATCCAAGACATAGTATTGGGAGGCAAGATGCCAAGAAACCATCATGTTCAGTTTCATTGGTATGCAGGTCCCTCAAGACAGCTCTATCAGCACAGCAGAGACCCAAAAACAAATTAACCACCTCTTCTAGCTGGGGAGATTGAAAATAAAAGTGCTAAATGCATAATAATAGCTCAATGGTGCTTCAGTAGCAAATCTTTCTTAGAAAGAATGGCAAAACAAATTTGAAGCAATATTTATTATGTCCAATCCTATTTAAAGAAGGAACTGATGCTAAGAAAAGGGCACATCATTAACCGTTCATGTATCAGAACCTATATCAGAAGAATAGTGTTCAAGACTGTAAGAACTAATGTCATACTTAAGAACCAAAGTGTCACTGCCAATATAGATTGGACTGATCTATGTCTGAGTTAGTCTTGCTGGACAGCAAAATGCACTGATTCATATTTAAAAGCAAAGTGCTGTAAATATTCAGCAGACAGGAAAATATCTGTAGAGAAACAGCATCAATGCATAAGATAATAACCTTTCACTAGAACTGGGAACAATTTGAATGTACTAGTTTTAAGTCAAGTAAGGGTGGTAAAAGGACATACGATTCAGAGCAGAAGTGAGCTACCCAGCCTTTGGGCCTGCTGCGACATTCAATAGGATCATGGGTGATTGGATTACTGCACATTTCTGCCCGCCCTCAAACTTACACACCTTTTCTTATGCATCTATCTCTGCCTTAAATAAAATTCAAAGACTGCATCCACGGCCATTTTGATGGTGAGCATTCCAAAGATTCATGAGCCTTTATGAGAAACAAATGATCTAATCTCTCTCTTTAAAGGGTGTCCCCTTATTTTTAAACAACAGCCCCTACTCCCTGACTTTCCCACAAGAGGAATCATCCTTCTAACATGCACTCTGTCAACAGCCCTCAGGATCTTCTATTAGTGATCAAACCACCTGGCACTCCTGTAAATTCCGATGAAGACAAACCTAACCTGTCCAACCATTCCTCATTGGACAAGGTGCCCATTTTAGGTATTAGCCTAGTAAATCTTCTCTGAACTGCTTCAAACACATTTACATTCCTTCCTTAAGTAAATGCCCAATACTACACATAGTACTTAAATTGCTTATTAACTGAAGCATAACCTCCGTTATTTGGTATTCAATTCCCCTAACAATAACACCTCATCTTCATTATGGACATCCAATCCCTGTACACTTGCATTCCCCATACGGTTGGCCTAAAAGCCCTCCGCTTCTTCCTCTCCCGCAGCCCAACGAGTCCCCCTCCACCGACACCCTCTTCCACTTAATCAAATTCGTCCTTACCCTTAAAAACTTCTCTTTTAACTCCTCCCACTTCCGACAGACTAAGGGGTTGGCGATGGGAACCCGCACGGGCCCAAGCTATGCCTGCCTCTTCGTAGGATACGTGGAACAGTCCCTCTTCCACTGCTACACTAGCACTATCCCCCACCTCTTTTGCCGCTACATCTCTAAGTGATAACATTCTATTAGTTTTCCTAATTGCTGTACCTACATACTAGTCTTTTGCAATTCAAGCATGGGGATATCCAGATCTCTCTGCATCTCAAAGCTCTGCAATCTCTCACCATTTGGATAAAATGCCTTTTCATGCTTTCCAGCAAAATGGATAATTTCACATCTCCCACATTGTACTCCATTTGCCAGATCTTTGATCACCCACTTAACCTTTTCACTTTATAAGCCTCATTATAATCTTCCTCACAACATTCTTACTTACTATTTAACTTTGTGTCATCAGCAAACTGAGCAACCATACCTTCAGTCCCTTTGACCAAGTTGTCTGAATATATTTTAAAACATTGAGTACCGAGCACTGATTCCTGTGGCACACATTGCCAAGCAGAAAGTGGACCATTCACACCAACTCTGTTTTCCTGTTAAATGAGAAAAGGGTTGCTGTGCAAGGCCAAAGGGAGTGGTAATGGGACAAATGAGGTGTCTGGAAGAAGTGTGAATGCGAGACTAATGTACAGCTCCCATCCAAAAATGAAAGCAAACAGTTCATCCACTTCACCAACACCTTCCACCCCAACCTTAAGTTCACCTGGACCATCTCTAATACCTCTCTCTCCTTCCTGGACCTCTCTGTCTCCATCTCGGGCAACCACATAGAAACTTATATCCATTTCAAGCCCACCGACTCCCACAGCTACCTAGAATACACCTCCTTCCACCCACCTTCCTGCAAAAATGCCATCCCCTATTCCCAATTCCTTCGCCTCCGCCGCATCTGCTCCCAGGATGAGGCATTCCACTCCCGTACATCTCAGATGTCCTCGTTTTTCAAGGACCGCAACTTCCCCCCCCTCAGTGGTCGAGAACGCCCTCCACCGTGTCTCCCGCATTTCCCGCAACTCATCCCTCACACCCCATCCCCGCAATAACAACCAAAAAAGAATCCCCATCCTCCTCACGTACCACCCCACCAACCTCCGGATCCAATGCATGATCCTCTGACACTTCCACCATCTGCAATCCGACCCCACCACCAAAGACATTTTTCCCTCCCCAACCTTATCTGCTTTCAGGAGGGACCACTCTCTCCGTGACTCCCTTGTCCGCTCCGCACTCCCCTCCAGCCCCACCACACCCGGCACTTTTCCCTGCAACCGCAGGAAGTGCTACACCTGCCCCCACACCTCCTCCCTCACCCCCATCCCAGGCCCCAAGAAGACTTTTCACATCAAGCAGATGTTCACCTGCACATCTGCTAATGTGGTATACTGCATCCGCTGTTCCCGTTGTGGCCTCCTGTACATCGGGGAAATCAAGCGGAGGCTTGGAGACCGCTTTGCAGAACACCTACGCTCGGTTCGCAGTAAACAACTGCACCTCCCAGTCACGAACCATTTCAACTCCCCCTCCCATTCCTCAGACGACATGTCCATCCTGGGCCTCCTGCAGTGCCACAACGATGCCACCCGAAGGTTGCAGGAACAGCAACTCATATTCCGCTTGGGAACCCTGCAGCCCAATGGTATCAATGTGGATTTCACAAGCTTCAAAATCTCCCCTGCCCCTACCGCATCCCAAAACCAGCCCAGCTCGTCCGCGCCTCCCTAACCGGTTCTTCCTCCCACCTATCCCCTCCTCCCACCTCAAGCCGCACCCCCATCTCCTACCTACTAACCTCATCCTGCCCCCTTGACCTGTCCGTCCTCCCTGGACTGACCTATCCCCTCCCTAATTCCCCACCTACACTCACCTTTACTGGCTCCATCCCCGCCTCTTTGACCTGTCTGTTTCCTCTCCACCTATCTTCTCCTCTATCCATCTTCTATCCGCCTCCCCTTCTCTCCCTATTTATTTCAGAACCCCCTTCCCCTCGCCCATTTCTGATGAAGGGTCTAGGCCCGAAACGTCAGCCTTCCTGCTCCTATGATGCTGCTTGGACTGCTGTGTTCATCCAGCTCTTCACCTTGTTATCTCAGACGATGAGACTGCTGCTTTTTCCTGTTTGGAAGTTTCAGTTTCTAAGTGGGAGCACAAATTTATAGTTGGAGGTCACTGAAGGCTGTAAGGTGCCTAATTGAAAGATGAGCCGCTATTCTTCAAGCTTATATTGAACTTCATTTGAACATTCCAGAAGGCCAAAGTCAGACAGATCACCATGAAAGCAAAATGGAGAATTAAAATGACAGTTGATCAGAAGCCAGGGTCATGAACAGAGATGTCCCATAAAGTGGTCACCCGATTGGTATCTAGGCTCCCCAGTGTAGAGCTGACCAATTTGTGACTATCAAATAGAGTATACTAAATTGAAAGAAGTACACATAACTCATACACAAACAGAAGTTGCTGGAAAAGCTCAGCAGGCCTGGTAGCATCTGTGAAGAAACATCAGAGTTAACGTTTCAGGTCTGGTGACTGTTCTGATGAAGGGTCACCTGACCTGAAACGTTAACTCTGATGTTTCTTCACAGATGCTGGCACACCTGCTGAGCTTTTCCAGCAATTTCTACTTTTGTTCCTGGCTTACAGCATCCGCATTTCTTTTGGTTTTTATTTCACCTAAATCATACTTTTACCTGAATGGAATCAATCATTCAGGCTTTGGATGTTGAGGAGGGAGGTAAAGAGCAGGCTACTCTTGTGCTTAGATACAAAGCTGCCATAGAAGGGGAGGGACATATTAGGAATGACTGAAGAATGGATTGGGAGAGAGTGTTCTCTTCAGAATGCTGGAAGTTCAAGAATCTTGCCCACCACTTAATTCTCAAGAGCAATTAGGGCTGGGCAACAAATGCTGGCAATTTGTTAGCAAACCATGCTCACATTGTATGAAGGAACAGGAAAAGAAGGGCAAGTGAAAATACAGTTTGTAGTGGCATCACGCTGGAGGATGTGGAAATGACAGAGCATGGGCTATTGAATAGCGAGGAGTTGAGAGGTGGAGGTGAGGACAAGGGAAACTCTATCATGGTTCTGGGTGGGAATGGAAGGGATGAGAGCAGAAGTGCGGGAAATAATTTGGACATGTTTGAGGATCCTGTCAAGCATGACTGGAGTAATCTTCAGTTGAAAAAAAAACGGAGACATAGCAGAAGTGCTGGTATAAATGTTTGCATTATCACAAGATGCAATACTGCCTGAAAAATCGGGAGAATGGAATGGAGTTCTTACAGGAAACAGGATGTAAGGAAGTGTAGTCAAGGTGGCTGTGGGTTTATAGTGAATATTTTTCATTGGCCTATCTACTGTGATGAAGAAAGTGAATCTGAGGAAGAATGAGTTGGAAATGGACCACCAGAAACTAACAGCAGGGTGGAAATTAGAAGTAAAGTTGATGAAATTTCTCAGTTGAAGGTGACAGCAGAAAATAGCAGTGCAGAGTAGAATAGGTCTAGACCAAAAAATTTTCTACACATCTCACAAATTTCTAGGTCTCATGCAGGTGCCCACTGCAACACTTCAATTTGGAGGCAGTAAATACAGTTAAAGGAACCATCGTTCAACGTGAGAAAATGTGCAGGACTGAGGAGGGTTGAATTGGACGAAGTCTGATTGTCTTCTTTCAAGGAAGAAAGGAGCAGAAAACTCTCAGGCTATCCTGGTGCAGGATGAAGATGCACAGAGATCAGACACCTATGGCGAAGAACAGATGTTCAGGGCCAAGAAATTAGAAATTGCTAAAACGAAGGAGGACATCGGACGAGTCATGAACATGGGTGGGAAAAAGTTGGACAAGGAGAGGAAACAAAAGTCAAGACAGTCAGGACAGTCCTATAAGTGGATCTTGGGAAGGAGAAAGAAACAAGCTATATAGAGTTGGGGAAGTATGAGCTTGGAGGTTCTGAAGGGATGATCTCCAGTGGCGCCCAGTGACAGGCATGTAGACAATGGTTTCATGTTCACTGGTGAGGTCACCATCAAGAGGGAAGTAGGAGGAGGTGTAGTTGAGTTGGCTGTGATTCAGACATTGGCATTTACACTTTTTTACACCTTATATTTGGAGTCTTCAAAGCTTGAAATCATGATTCTGAACCTATATTCAAGCCTAACATTCAAACTCATTTAACATAGTGTATTTTAGCTGATTTGCAAGTTATTGCAAGAAAAACGTATACATCACACCCACTGATTTATAATTTCAGTCATAATTATCCTATAATAAAAGCTGTAACAAAGTTACCCTGAATTTTCTAGGCTACTGTGGCCTTGTTTCAGAAATAGGTGCTGGAAATCAAAGATAGAAATAACATGCCCAGAGTTTATGTAAAATGTCCACAGAAGTGTTAATGTGTCAGTGAATATTGATTTATAACTGACATGCTAGGGAAGGCTTGTGACCTGCAGTTCTATTATGATGCTGTAGTCACAAACTGATAAATGCAATTCTGAAAACAAAAATGAGTACAAGATCCCAGTGTTTTGAGATATGGTATTGATTGTATTCCTTACCTGATGGTGCCCAATCCTGCAGCAACTTATGGAAAACATCTGCTGTCCTTTTTCTTTTTTCGTAAAAGCAGTTATCTATACAAGGAGACAGATTACAAAAGAATTATTTAAAAATATCATACTCAAGAGAATGATTGGTAATAAGAACATTTCTGGCTTTGTTTTCTGGAATCAACAATGTTAATTTTTTTAATCGCACTTTTAACAGAAAATGTCTCAAGACTTGCCACAAAAGATTTGACAGAGATACACAAGATCATTATAGGAGAGAGAACGAAAAGCTTAGTTAAAGGGGTAAGTTTAAAAGGAGCATCTAAAGCTGAAAGAGGTAGAAAGGTAGCAAGGAGAGGAATGCTCTACTCTAACACCTAGGCAACTCACAGCAAAGCCAATAGAAGGGTGTTATTAAAATAGCAGAGGTACAAGAGACCAGAATTAGAGATGAGCACAAGTCTCAGAAGGACTGTAGGACATTACGGAGATAAGAAGGGGCACAGCCATGGAGGGAATAGAAAATAACGAGTGCACTTTAACAGTTAGTCACTTCTGATCCACAAGCCACTGTAAGTCAGTATAAGATACAGTGACCAGAATTTTGGATGACCTCAAGGTAACAGAGGGTAGAAACTGGGAGGCTGGCCAGGAAAATGCTGAAATAGTCATCTAGAAGTAACAGTGAGGGTCTTAGCAGCAGATGAGCTGAGGGAGGGACAAAATTGGGTGGAACTAATGACAGCACAAATGTTTGGCTGAAAGCTCATCTCACAACCTGACACCAAGATTGTGAATGATCTGATTTAGCCTCAAAATAGTTGCAAGAGAGGGCAACAGAAACTCAGTGGCCTGGGAACTGAGTTTGTTACCAGGCTAAAAGACAATGGTTTCAGTCATTTCAATAGTTACTTAAAGGAAAATACTGCTCATTTGGTACTAGAAGTCTGATGAGCAGTCTGACAACTTAGCTCAGGGGATTGAGTTGTCATGAGAAGGTAGAGCTGGGGACCACCCACACACATTCAGGAGTGTATCAGGATGGACAAGATATTGAGCATACAAATATCACTTCCTAACTTAAGATTTCGGATGATTAATCTTTTGTATGACCCTCTATGAACTGACTAACTTGATAGGTATATTAAAGCCTTGCAGGAAAAAAGGTGAAAATAACAACTCATCTCAAAGCTTTCCATTTAACAATTCTGGAAAACAGTTCAATTAACCTAATTCTAACTTGTCATGAGGAACTCACAATTCCTGAGACCCGGACATTTTGCTAGAACTATCCGGTCAACAAGATCATCCAAACCTTCATTTGTGACACAAAGCCTTGCTCAAACTTTGTTTTAAATTAGTTACAAGAAGGCATTGTCCAACAGTAATTAATTTAACTTCCATCTAATAAACAGGATTGAAATGGGTCCAAAGGACACATCTTAAATTGAACAAATGAGATTTTAATATTTGTCTGCAAATGGAACACCAAAGAATCAATTTCTTTAGGCTTTAGCTCCGCCTTCTGACTGCTTCAAAGCAAAAGAAGAATGCAAACTAGTAACATTGATCAAAAGCCCTGTCAACACACTGATGCCACAAGCTCACTGCTGTCACCAGATAGTCAAAAGAACTGTTACTATAAACTTGTTAACAGTCAAATAATAAGAGGTCATCCATAAAGACTAGGAAAGTCCCAGTCTTTTCAAAGTTAGTTGATTAGAGACAAAATTGGCCTCAGCAATATAGAGAAGAGAAAAAGTAGCCAGTACTCCCATATTAATGATCCTGGCTTGACAGTGCAAAATGGACAAGATCAGACTAGGATTCAGCTTCAATGGCAAGTCTAGACTAAAATGAAGAATTCTCATCCCACCCAAACACAAATCAGATTACTCAGGATCAAGATGCAAAAGGTTGTCTGGACAAATCTAGATATTTTATACAGATACAATTTAATAGGCACAACCAAAATGCAGTATTATGCAAATCCTACATTGGAGGCAGATGCCCCACCTCCAGTTTAAAAGCCTTTCTGTCTTCCCTTTGCTGAATTCAACCCAAACATCATACTGTGAAGTCCTGCCTCCAAGAGTTGCTGGCCAATCATGAGAGCTATAATCACTGCTGGGATTATAATCATCCCCAACGAGGAGTCAAGGTGCCAAGTGCCCTTGCGAGATTGGAGTTTCAGGAGATCAAAACTATCAGGCTTCTGTGAGGAGGTTGGAGAAGCCAGGTTCTACAGGACATATGGTAAAGGACAGTTGCAAGAGGAAGGCTCAGAAATCCTTGTTTGGGTACAGGGACTTTCACACAAGCTGACAAGGGTGCTAGATACCACATGGCTCAGGCAAGCACCAAGACCAGTGGTGGTTCAACTAAGGTTTTAAGTGACCATTAACTGGTCATAAGGGCCCCAACTGTCCAATGGATAAGTGGGCTTGCCTCCGATTCCTGGTAAAATAGTAATAGTGGGTAGATGATGGGCTCAATGTCATCAACACAGCAGTCGATTTTATGCTCCCCTCATCAGTCAACCCACTCCTGGGGAAATTGCAAAATTTCTTGCAATAGTTAAAAGCTTTGGGTACGAAACATTGCTTATAAAATCTTAAATTTTCTTAATAAAGAAAACATCACAACTGAATACCGCGGAATAAGCCAATTAAATATAAAAGTAATGCTATCCTACACCAATCATTATGAACAATACCTCTGTCATCTGGAAGGTATCTGAACTCCATAGATTCACTGACTTGTTGGTCTGAAGGTCTTCGAAGCTGCATTTTCACAGATACAGGCTCAGTAATGTTTGTATTGCAATATGCAGGTGTGCGAAAGACAATGGCAACTTGTCGATGGACGTCAGCTTGTGAAAATGAACCTTTGGCCTCCCAGTCATGAGTGAAAAAACGAACTTCAATATCATCTAAGGACACAAATATTAAGAATTTGTTCAACACAATGCGTAAAAGGATTCTTAAATCCATGTTATGTTTAACCGTGGTCTATACTTCATGACTAACGTAGAGTTGACTTCATTTGTTTGTTTTAAAATAGATTTTAAGTTTGGCACCCTGTCGCTACCTTTTCCCACTACTGATTTCAGGATAAGCCAGTAATGACCCCATTAGTGACTTTGTCTAAGTGCAAATATAATCCAGGGTAAAAGTACTCATCATACATCAAAAAAAATGTAGCTTCAAGTAAAAATGAAACAATTAAATATTCAAAAGACCTCAGACAAATTTTAAAAACTTTTAAAAAAAATTCTTGTGCATCTCAGCGTTTAGCAATACACAAACATTTCTAGTAAGGTAGCGGCAGAGTAGGACGCTCTAGCTGGAGCTCTTCTGCTCCGCCCGTTCTTTTTCTTCTTATTTAATTACCCCCTCCCTCTCTCCTCCCGTTTCTTAGCCTCAGACACCCGGCCCCGGCCTCCAAAGCAAGGTCGGCGGAGACACCAGCTCATCGGCGACCAGCAGCGGGAACATCAGCAGCCTGAAACAGAAACACCAGTGTACAACGGCTGGAGCGGGAATGCCAGTGGCCCAGTGCGGTACATGGCAGCAGTGGCAGCCAGACGTCAGACCATGTGGAGGCCCCCTGCACTGGTCTGCTGTGGAGAACCTCTGGAGAGAGACCATGAGGTTTGTCTTTTTAACTTCACTTCTTATTTTTCTGACTTATGGTTATACTGCGCATAGCTGTAATGCAACTTGTTTTTTCTTCATTTCTCTATTCTGTAAACAAGGATTGTACCTAGGCACCTTTGTACCCAAGATGTCACTACGTGGTGACGTAAACTTTTCACTGTACTCATTTGAGTACATGTGACAATAAAGTTAATTTAATAATTCTATTCAATTCAATTCAGATGTTGTTCCCATTATAGACTCTGCAAGCCATGCAGAAGTGGACAATATCCACACAGTAGTGGTCTGAAAGGAAAGAACCTCCTGATTGCCTGTCTTTTCATCCCCCATTCTACAATTAACAATTTATTTTCTGTAATATCCTTGAATGGAGGTTGATGGTTGGGATTTCAGTCTCCTGAGAGATCATTGAAACACGAAATGTCATGAGCATCATCATCATGTGTTTTGCCTGAAGGCAGGTCCTTGGCTCAGAGTCTTCCCTGTATCTTGCTATCCTATTCCAATCTTTTCATTTCCTAGAACTTCAGTTAATTTTTACACCAATGTCCATTTCCTCATGATGTTCCCAGTGCAATCTCCACCCTTTCCTAACTAAGTTTAGCAAATTGTTCTAAGGGTCACTTGGCCAGAAACATTAACTCTTATTTCTCTCTCTCTCTGAGAGTTTTTCTAGCACTTTCTGTTTTTGTAGCAAATGGCTTTCATTTGTTCACTGTCAACACATCATCATTTGCTACTTTTTCTATCCACCTGGCCATTAACCTGGTGAAATCTCCTCTAAACCCATATTTCAAAACTATTTGATAAGTTCCATGAAGTTCAAGTCTCCCTACCATATGAAGCACCAATCCATATCAAGCTCTTTTTACTAACTGGAGTTGTTCAAGAGGTGATCATGATACTTAAAGTAGTCTTTAACAAAATATTAGCGTTGTTTATTATATCAACCAACATCACTATCTGGTACCACAGTGACATTATTTTCAGCAGGAAGGAACCTTCATGGACACAAAAATTTCAAGCACCATCAGGCAGAAGTACTACCTAAAAACACAAAGGATTACATTTGATTCATTTAGAAAAGGCAAATACCACTGTAGCCTCCTCTTCTTGTCCCCACACCATAACCAGTGGTCGCATAAGTATCCAGACTTGCCTCCTTCCAATTTCTCATCTATATACAATCCCCAGTGACTTCATTTGAAAACACAGCATTTGTATCTACATGCTCACTGTTGACATCAGGAATTTGGACAGCCAATAGCTTGGCCAATCAGATTTGAACTGCCAACCAATCAGCATCCTTTGCTCTTGCAGTATAAATAACTGTGATCATTTAAAATTCGGCATTCTTGTGTTTGTCCTGATGAATGAAGGATGAAAAGCATCATCAATATGTCTCTTTGTTCAGCAATAATCTTTTCACTCTTTAAAATGGCTTGGACTTTGCAATCACATCAGTACTGACCCTGAAGTAAGAATGAACAAGACCTGTGGCACTTCCCTTATCACGATGTTGATTTAATTTAGTTCTGATGCCAGCTATCAGGGATCTCTGGTGTGCAGAAAGTGAAGCCATGAACAGGCTGAGCAGCCAAGCAGATAGCAAACCCAGAAATTTAAAATAATCAAATTTTAATCATTTTATACAGAATGAACTAGGTTGGGATTTACACCAGCTTAATGCAGGAGCTAATATATAAACAAAACAACTAAAAATATCCAAGATAACAAGGTGTACAGCTGGATGAACACAGCAGGCCAAGCAGCATCAGAGGAGCAGGAAAGCTGACGTTTCGGCTCGGGACCCTTC